AATTGATCAGTTATAAGTACGGATTCTGAATTCTTTCATTTGGAGGTGAAAATAATTGTTGCGAAGATGAAACCAGTTGTTCAATATTGCAGATGTATTAAATCAACTGTAGAAATCGTTATTCTCGATATGCTGCTAATAATAGTCTTCTTACACATACTCAGCTGTATTGAACTCTCGTCGTTGCCGAGACCACCTGAGAGTCTAAACTTATGGTCTCAGACAATAGAGTTGTAAGTGAGCTATGCTCGATTAGGAACAACTATTTTTTGGTCATTTTATAAACATAATAGTGAGTACACGATATGTTTCGATTTGATGCGTTATAGTGTTTTCCGGGAAATTCATTTTAGACTCAGTAAATACTCAAGATGTCACTCATCTAGGCTATTATATTCGTCATACAGAATTTCCCAATTTCCAAGGTTCGGAAATTGAGGTGGACCTTCGATCACGGATGTCGGGACAGTGCAATTTTGAAGGTAGGATATTTCGGTTAGGATCACTCGAGATATGTGTCCGAGTCTGAGGTCTAAGAAAAAAGATAAGAAATTCTGGAGAGATTTTTCGAATTTAAGCTTTCGTAGTTTTATCCAAAAATGTGCAAAGATGGAATGTTTATTTATCATTGCCGATACCTTAGTCTTCAGAGTATTGGCTTCAAAATGTGAAATCGGAGTTCAATACCTTTGAGCGCTAATTTTAAACGTCGAACTGGATTGGAGTTTTCTGTGTAAAGGAGGTTTTTGCTCGTCAAAGTCTGAGATGAAGTATTTGTGACCAACAATGCTCACAGTCGTACGATAACGTTCTTCTGGATAGGAAGATACCACCATGAAATGCTTTGTTTTTGTTTCTATATAAACCTTTATGTGTATGACAAAACAATGTAGTTATAAACGTCGACAATGTCAATTTTGAACATGCTCTTTTACGTCATGAAGAGGAAGTTAATGGTGATAACGTCGTTGTCGATCTATCAGATTCACCGGTGTATTCAGTTATTCTCGATTGCGCGTGAGCATGTTTGTCATCATCTTGGACATCAAATAACAGTGTGTCGTCTATGAAATGCTCAAGAAATCTCTTGCATTGATGCATGCGCTCGTTCTGAGACGAAGGCTGATTGGATGTTTCTTCGATATACAACACGTTGTTGCTATCATCGGAATTGTAGAAGATTTCTTTTTCTTATGCTTGATATGACTTTGCTGATCGATTATCGTCATTAACTCACGAATCATTGTTTTCATCTGAGCAAAAAAAGTTTATCTTCGAAATTCTTTCAAAGATATTTGTTTTTTGTGGAGTCAACGCTTTATTCGATGATAAACAATCAGTTTACAAGAATGAAAAGGAACGGAAAGAGAAGAAGAGAGACAACAGACAAACTGGTCATAAAGCTGGCAGAGAAGAAAAGGAGACGCATGACTTATGTCTCGTAGAGAGAAGAAAAACAAAAATTAGATGTATAAAGAGTGTGGTGAAAGTTAGGTTGGGCCGTGTGAAGTTGCATGGTAGCGTAGTAGTGATTTTCTTCGATGGAACTTCGACGTATATGTCGATAATCGTCGTTTCTTCGTTCTCGATCAACCGTTTTGTACGTGATTCCGATATAACAATTTTTGTACAGATTCGGCTGACTTAACAGTGATCTATGTTATCGACGCTAACATTAATAGTGAAGAGAAGAGTGTTGCTTCACGTTGTCGTTAACGTACAAAGCAGAACTGGTAGAGCCGGAGAACGAAGATATGTACGTCACATGTAGTCGTTTACTGTCTTCACAAGGAGAGGTAGAAGGACGGTTGGATTGTCTTAGAGGTAGTCGTCCTAGTCTGAGAGCGATGTGTTGTCTAAGGAAAAGCTGAAAGGTTGTTCAGTAGCCGGTTGAAAAATTTCGCGCCATACGCGTATAAAGTGAAAGTTCCTATGCGACTAAGTTGAATGTCCTTCAGCTTTATGTCGTTAAGCTGCATCTTATTTAATTTTGTATTTTCGAGGATGAGAGGAGCAATCGTGAATTTTGGTTGGATGGTGTTTCTGGCTAGTCGGTTGTTTTGTGGACTTCAAACAATGGACGCAACGAGTGAGTGACATGGCCCATTGTCTAGGCTCTGGTGTTGTGCCCTTGCGCGTGAGCGCCCACCTCTTGCCTTTGCAGGCATGGACCAGACGAAAAACTTGTTTTTTGTTCGTGCAGGAGACTTGGTTGGTTAAAAATTAACTTTAATTGCTGGTAGATGATGGCGAGAGGCAGAGAGAGAAGGCTCTTTGTGTGAACCGAAAGAAGTCAAAGTTTACGTGTATAGACGAAAGAGAATGTGACTGATTGCTAGCTCGTCAGAGAGGGGAATGAGATATTTGTTTGATCAATATTTCTTCTAATGCGGCCTAATAACAGTTTGTTAAAGGTATTGAATTTTAAAAAGATTGAGAAACCTGGCGCACTATCAAAATGCCTTCGGACTAAAGTTATTCAATTATGAACCTTATGCTATCTACCAACAGCCTTTTGACTATCTAGGATTTCAATGATAGATTTTATCTGAAACATTGGGATAAAATTTGTCTTTTTAATCAAAATTGATTCCTTAGATCGAATTTTTTATGATTAGTTGCTTAAAAAACATGATCTGAACAAATTTTATGTGTTAAAAGCAAATAATTCGTATTGGCACCAAAAAATGAAGACTGAGTATATTACGTTGTCAACAAAGTTTTGGCGCTTTTTACAAAAATTTTATTTTTATTTTTTCACTTCAAAAGTACAACTAGTTTCCAGATATATATTTACTATTGCTATCTACCACTTGTCGCCAACGTTCTGGCAGAGACATGATCCCGCGCTCGTGGAAATCTTGAGCTTTTTCGCCAAAGAACTTGATAAGTTCCGTTTTGACGTCGCTCTCGTCCTTGGACTTTTTATCACATAGATCATTCGAAAGAGAACGAAACAAATGGTAGTCTGTTGGAGCCAAGTCTGGAGAATAAGGTGAATGAGGAACGGTGATCCAGCCACCCAGGACGAACGTTCCGGNNNNTCCAGTTAACATAGTTAGTGCTGGAGAATTATCCACTGACAAATGACTAATCGGTCTGATTCCTAAAAGGACCTCTGTATCCTATTCATTCTAGTTCTAGTGTGTGACATAGTGCCATGATTCAGCTGAGCACTAGTAGCAATCGCAGTGTGTTTTTTCTCCTTCAAAGTCTCTGAATGTGTTCAGCATTAGGAAAAATCTTTCAGAAAAGGGTCAGCGAATCCAAAGGATGAGCGTTACTTGTACTTTATATGCGATGTTAAAGTTCTATCAAAAGTAGAGTTTATCAAGATTAGAGCAGAATATGTCATTACTCTAAAGAATCAAAAACATCAATCAACGTAGAAAAAGTTGTGCGATTGTTGACGGCATATACAGAGGATCTAATAATGAGTTTCATAAAACCACTAAGATCTCATCGGTTGTTTGTGCTTTGCCTAATTTAAACTTAATTAAACATCCTATTCATAAATCCAAAATATGAAAAATTAGCTAGTCTATTGAACAAATATTTGATAATAAAGCTATTCTAGTGTTATTTTCAACAGGATATAGAGCACAAATAACGATAGAAATTTAGTATCACGTGTATAGTATGAATGATAAATAACTACCTGTTCATAATACTTGAAGAAGGCTGTATAAGTAAATATATAAGTCGGGGTATGCTATAGCGAAGCACGCTTCATTTAGTCAATGTAATATAATACTTCCTACTAGTTAAGAGAAACAGATCAATAAAATGTAAAACTTCAGTAGGAGTGAAGATGGACCAGTCACTTCTTAAATGGGATATTGTAGTACGTGTGATACAGAAAAAATTGTTTCGAATACGTTATTTTATAGTCTAAAGATTTCTGACGTGAGTTGGAGACTTCCAGATATTTTCGTTTGAAAAGATCGCCAAGGAAGAAAGCAAAAAAAACAAAAGAAACGAAGTAACATCGAAATGATAAGAGATGTTTATTGCGCAGTAAAAAAAGAGAACACGTTCTTTTATCAAACACCACAGTGAATCTATTGAAGAGTTATAAGAGCTGTCAGGGAAAGGGATGGGGAGGCAAGAAAGCGACGTTTTATTCACAGAGATTCTTGTTTTCGTCGGCTCCATATGGCTGTGACTTACCATGATAATACAACTTCAACACTTTCTTTCAGATCGTGTTGCACAAAAATATATAGTTGAAAGCAAAAAGGAAGTGCTTCGCTTTATCAGGTGACATCTAAATCAGAAGAACAAAGGTGGATTTTAGTGATAAATTTAATTTGCTCCTACTCTCCTGTGTGTGTACGTATTTTTAGAGTAGACAATATTCTTTTTTCTTTTGACTTTCTTTTTATCTAGAGGCACTTTAAAATAGATAATCAATACATATAAGAAAAATCATTCTTTTAGAATGATTTAGTAAATTAAGATTATATCATATTCATACCATCTAATGATAGACAATTTTTCGTGAGAAGATAAAGAATAGTGAGCTGAACAATTCTTCTGCAGCGATTTCTAGTCTCTACTAGATTGTATAGATGTTAGGGGTTTTGTAACTTCACTCCAGCTACAATAGCTGAGATGATCCGAATTACCTCAGTGGTCTCTACATTATTAAAATAGCAAAAAACTTCATGTTATATAAATCATGAGAACAATAATTATTTAACTATTTGTTTTATTTTAACTTGATTATCATGTTCTTCCACGACAATAATCAAATGGATTAAACATGACATAAGAAATAAATAAATCACTAATAAAACAACTTTCATCTCATAGTTATGGTCATGTACTTATACGAATAGAAGGGTTTTTTCTTTTGATTTAATATTAAATATATATTATGAAATTATTCGAGCAACAAATAACATTTGATTTCTGTATGTCGTTTAGTATATTCAAAAACTAAAATATTTCTTCTTGTTTATTCAATTTTTGTTAATTAAAAATGTTCATAGCAGGTTTTAATTATATTTATTCAGCTTTTCGCTCATAGGTTTTAAATGATTTTGATATGTTGTTAAATCTGTATGGTTAGCAGGCAAATCTTTTGTACCAATATTAACAATATTTTGGAAAGATTTATAAGCTTCTTTATTATTTTGACTTTTCATATGTCTCAAATCAATATTATTGTGTAATGTAGCTACATCAGGATGATTTGGAATAGATGATTGTTTATGTATCTCTAATGCTTTTTCGTAACGCTCTACTGCTTGTCGACAGTCGTCTTGATGATCATAAACTGATGCAATATTATTGTAACATGTAGCTAAGATTGCTTCATTTGGTGAAGATTTGTCATAAATTTTCTGAGCTTTTTAAAAATAAATGAATGCTTGTGAATAAGCATTGAGCCTATCAAAAACTAATCAAATATTATTGTATATTGTAGCAACATTTTGATGTTCATTTCCAAAGATTTTCAAATATACATTTAAAATATCTTGATAAAAAAACAAAGCTTCCTTTGTATTTCCTTGTTTATATTCAATAAATTCTAATTGATGATCAATATTAGCTTTTTCTTCTTCATCATTGGTATTTCTTTTAAACTTATGATAAGTTTCTTTTGTTTTATTAAATTGACCAACTTTAATCATTAAAGCACCGAATTTATATAAAGGTGTTGATCCTTCAATTTCTTGTCGTATACGATCCATTAAACTAAGTTGTACACTCTACTTTTGAGAATTATTCTTATAGGATTCTATATTTCCTATACGAAAAACAGTACCCAGAGTAAATAAAATTTCTGCTTCTTTTTTAAAGTAACTATTTTTGCTTACATCAGCATAAATTGCTGATGAAACAGATGGATCAACAGTTATAATGAACACAACTCTAATTGGACGTTCTTGTTCCACATTCTCGTTAATAAAACCATCAGCAACCGATATATTCAGACTGGTTGATGAAAAACTATTGAATGCTAAAAATCCACCTTCACCTTTTTCTAAATTATTAAATTGTTCTGTTATCATACTTATGCCACGATAAACGGTAAACTTGTCTTTTTTCTTCGGTTTTTATTCTTTATGAAGTTTTTCAATATCCAAATGAGCATCTTTAATAAAAAAAAACCAAGACGAATAATCATATCAAATTGTTGTTCACGTAAAGCTTTATTAACTAATCCGTAAATAAAGATTTGTTTTGTATACCACCAAATCGGTTTTTCTTTAGGTTTATAATTATCACCAAAATCGTTAACTTCATATGGATTAGATTTCGTCGCATTTGGACTCTTTTGACAATAATCAGTAAATTCTTGAATAAATTGCTTATCATCTTCCGGTTCAACAAGAATTTCTCTGATTAATTGAGTATACATAAATGTTTGATCAAGTTCATCTAAATTACGATTCTTTATATCATTACAAGCGATGACACAAAATTCTTTGAATTCTTCATCAGAATCTTTTGCTGTTTCCTTAATAAATTTACACAGTTCCAGGACGAACGTTCCGACCTCCGGATACAATCGAAACTGCAGGGAAGGCAGCCATTTTCCGGCTCATTCCGACCCGTTCTCGTCGTATCCGAAAGGTTCCTAACGGAAAGCTATAGGAATGTTGAAGCAGTGTTCCAGACCGGAATTCCCCGGAACCGGATCCCTGATATTCCTACTAAATCCGTCGACCGGTTCCCCTCATATTCTCATGGAAAATATTAATGCCGCAAAAAATCCGATTAAAAATAACCTCACATAAAACAGCCGGGTCAGGACATAACCCTGCGGATACAAAAAATACTGCAATCGCCAAAAACTTTCCCGCATATTTTCTAAAAAATCCCTGCTCTTCCCGCATACCACACGCAGTATCCAACCTTTTCCTTAAACTAAGAACCGCCCATAACTGGAAAGCACCCATCTGAATCAGCGAAACGTAACCAATCATGAACAAACATAAAACTACAAATCCCATCTTTTCCAACTTCTTCCCGCTATTAATATCAAACTTCCTACAAAAGCTGACCTAAAAACTACACACCCTAGACACCTCAGTTTCAAGGATCAGCAATCCGATTGCAATCCTGAACGAAAAAGTCAGTTTCAAATGTATAAGTTATTTTTTTTGCATTGCTAATCGGATTGCAAGCCACGGTTTAAGCTTTGAATCCACGTTGTTTTGTAGTTCGTAAGTTGACCATAGTGGTGTAGTTTAATGGTCAGTAGAGCAATTAATTCTATTAGCCACGTGGAGCTATTTGCAGATCCTGGGAAGGTTTGTAGTGGTTTGTCTTTTGTTATTGGGAATATGGATTCGGATAGTGCCGGATCATGGGTTTTTGTTAGTATGGGATCTTTTCTTTTATTTTTGTTCGACTGGTGCGTTTATTCATTTTTCAAATTTGTTCGGTTTTGGCAATTTCCGTCAGGTTATGATACGTTGGAATATTACGGATGTTTAGATGGGGCTTCTCTTCTTTTCCGTTTGGTTAGTACCGGATCCGCGCGGATTTTTTCCGGGTGAATCCGGTCTGGAATTTTGCTTCTATGAAATGTACGGAAAAATCTGGCACCTGGTGGTTCCGGGCCGGATTTTTCGATCCGGGTTGAAATACATCCATTGAAACATTTTTATCTTCCTTATTTAAAAATAAATAAACTCA